TTATAACATGCTTGCACAAGAAATACACTACAAAAAAGCTGTTTATATCAAGCTGCTATGTGTAAATTTCCAATTTTCTCGATGTTTTCTTGAATTCTACTACTATTGTAAGGGTGACGAAGAGCCATGGCTTATTGAAAAACATAATTTTCATTATATTGCAGCATGGATTGTGGGTTTTATAAAGTGGAAACTGGCATTCTTATACATTGATGGGTAAGAGTCTACCTGGCACTCGTAGTGCATTCTAGATTTTCATATTAAAATTCCAGAGCTAAAACACACTCCACAGAACATATGCATGAGGATCATGAAAAAATAAAAATTTTAGTATTATTAAATGATCAAACTGATGATACATTATTGTTGAACATAAACAAAATAAAAAAAGAAAAAAATACCATGTTTTTTGATATGATTATTCACATTTACATTGATTTGTGAAACAGACAATGACATAACATTTTTGATTACAATGATCACACATATTTCTCACAGGAATTTTTCTTGCAAAAATATGCAATATATTAACATTTTTAGCATTAATAATTTGTATTAGGTAGTACTTTATACTTATAATTCGAAACTCTATGCTTTCTTGGTGAGCGAGTTTGGCAGCTCTCTGCGCCAATACTCGCTATAAGTGATGTCATAAATAGTACACATTATTGAATTTCATGTACAGAGATTTCAGATTCCAGGAAACAATATACTGTATAAAAGTATAATGTACACTTCTTTTCTTTTGTTAGACACAAAATTTGGGAAAATTTGTGACTCAGTTACATGTAAAATGAAATGAATGAACACAATGTTATTGCTTTTGATGTCTATATGAAGTTTGAGCAGTGTAAGTAACATGGTACATTTTTGTTATACAAATTTCATTTCCCTTTCAGGCAATCCTTTTTTATTTGCCAGTTTTTAATTCGTTGGAACAGATTATGTAAAACATAGAGCCCCCATGCCAAAAATAAAAAATAAACGTATACCATTACTAACCCAGAAGTGAGCCATAGTGTTGACTTGCATTGTCTTTTCTATCAGCTTATCCGGGCAATCTAAAAATGTTTTTCCCGTCACGATTCCGGCATTGTTAATGAGAATCGTAACATCGCCAACGTCGCGTTTCACGTTAGCGGCATTCTGGTATACGCTGTCCCTATCACTCAGGTCTACCGTGTACGAATACGCTCTGCCGCCTTTGTCGCGGATTTCTCGTGCCGTCTTCTCGTTGTTCACTTCATCGATGTCCCAAAGTATGACAACTGATTGCAAGGTGGCAAATCTTAACGCCATCAAGCGACCAATACCACTGCCGGCACCGGTGATCAAGACGATGTCGCCAGCAACGTCTTTGCGGGGCTTACAAAATGGTAAAACTAGGTACACGAACGACACGGCGAAATGCCATAAGCAATTCAATGTCACTTGCAGGCATTCCCATAACAAATTCGACATAGTTGAGCCGCTGACCTAACCTTGGCAAAAGAGAGCTACTTCTTTGACCCCTTGTCAACCAGTGACCAATCGACCTTTAATTTTAATAGTGCGCCCTCAAGATTATTGTCGAGTGTACCTGCACTTATCAAGGACGTGATGTTCGCTGGTTCCCGGCGTCTCTTGTGAATGGCAAGTAGGGCACGGTATCTAGTAGTCGCCATATTGTTCCACTGGCCCAAAGACACGTGACCAAGTGACGTAATTTGAAAGCATACTAATATTCGCTTCCCGTAAACAATCGCCTTGCCTATACAGTCTGCCAGCAATGACTTAATATTTGAGATGGTTCTGACATTTCTCACTGTTTCTGTACAAATTGATAACAAAAGAAACAGTTTTTCATTCGCCCAACTTTCGAAAGTAAAGGGAAACCCCAGAGCTAGCTCCATGCGCCAGCTAACCAAGGGAAATAGAACAAGCAACGACCCACGCATACACAGTATCTGTATCTGTATATTGTAAAAAAAACAATTACATAGAAATATTTGTTTCACCACAAAAAACAGTAAACTACAAGGCAAGCTAGGAAATGATATCGTCTCTGCTTTCATTCATTTTAGGTAATTCTTTTCCCAAAAATAATCCTCCCCGCCCAACTCATAAATGCGCAAATGACACTACAATATGAATGAAGTACAATACTCCCTTTACCTGTCTGTCAATGTATTACTATGGTATTTATATTTGGGACGTGTTTCTCTTTAATGTTTTGTTCTTTGTTTATCAGGCATGAGTTGTACAATCTAAAAGCGACAAATCAGGAAAAAGTTCGCAGTTCCTTCCACCTTTTTCGTTAAATTATGGGGTAACATTATAAAGTATTAAAAATGCAAAAATACAGTAGCTTGTATATATTTAATAGTGAAAACACCAAGTCTGTTTTGCGGCAAGATGTTAGACCTTGAGTTTGTTTATGTTTGGTCATAATGAAGTAGGCGTCAAATTTGTACTCAAACAAACCCTAAATTTTACCCAAGCTGCATTGAAAAACTTTAGTTTCTGTCTTGTATCTCATGATAGAAATTTTCACCTGTTAAAAACGTAAATTCGTAGACATGAGCATCGTTGTTCTAAAGCATTCATTTATTACTGTAACATTCATTCGTATGCAAATTAGTAAATCTTCACGGTTACAGTGATATTCAGATTAGTAAACCTGAACGTTTTATGAAATAAATAACATATGAATGTAATAAAAATGTGAGGTTTACTAATTTAAAATATCATTAAGATGCGGACGCGGCGCGACGACCATCGAACACTGCGATAAAGACTTTCCGTTTTCGACAATGTGAAATTCTTTCGTTTTTATGCAGAAAAGTACAGTATTTTTACCGAGTAAAATCACATTTATTAAAGTTATTGTCCATACATGAGTTTGTAATTTCATTTAGCTTATTCCAGTAATAATTCAAGACAAATAAAAGGCAAAAATACTAGTATAGAGAATATAGCAAATTATCTTTTTTTCTGTAATATTTGAAATTTATTTATGGGTGATT